ACTCAGTGCAGAGAGAGAGAGAGACTGAAAATGTGTTCTGTTATTCCTATTTGAACGATTGATGGCTTTCAGACTACAAAGCTTGGCTGGATTAACCTGCTCAGAGGCAAGAATGAGCTATGGGCCCCTATAGACCCGCCTCAAACACAAGTTCCCCCAGCCCATCTTGTGGAGCCTCCCTTAAACCACTCAGTGTTTCTACACCAGAATATGACATTGTTTAAGCATATGCTCTATGTGAGAAAAAAGATTAAATCTAGCCTCACTACAATGACACGTAAAGACACAAACTATTCAGTTTCAAGCAGACTGAGACCTTGATTTCTCCTCTCACAGTTGGGTTTACGTCGACTGAGGCACTTGTTGGGCCGGGAAAGAGAGAGGCAAGTAAAGGAGGCCAATTTGATTCGCGAAAACCAACCCTTCACCTCTTTACAAACAGCAGTTTCCTAAAAGCATCCGATGCTGCTTTTGACCTGAAAGCAGGAAGGTGGAGACTCATTTGACCAGAAACTTGCAGATATAATTTGATCCATGCAGACATAACCACTGATTTATGACATGAGAAAAAGCGTGCAAACTTAGTTCAGTAATACTTGTTTAGTGTTTGAGCAGCCATGTTGATTTGGTTGATATAGTGAACTGGGTTTGAGTTCCTGCTGCATAATGCCTTCGTTGCTAAGTCCATGTGATCAACCCAGTGCTGTAATGGCTTCCCCACAAATTAAACCACTTAAACTTTAATGGTGTGTTCACACAAAAAGCAAAGTGAATGTTTCATGTGATTAGATTACAAACAAATCCAATTCAAAAATGTGAATAGATGTGAATTTTCCCCTATATGTAGTCATTTCAGCATTCTTTTGATTCATTTATTGACATTAAATCACAGAAACATCTGTTTATTTTATAAGTAAGCCAGATTAAAGGGTGAATATTTACTTGTTACTCATGTGAGTCACGCAAGTAAACCCAAAAGATCCTGTGAAAAAACTTGTGTTATTTGCACTTTGCGTATAGTGTGAACACACCATAAGTTGAATTACCAAAAACATACAGAATCCACATAAGATGGTTGATAAGATGATTTGTTTGTCAATCAAGTAATCATGTAACTTGCAAGAGCACTGCTGAAAGGTTGCTGACCACAAGATTCCTCCTTGTTCCCATTTTAGCATTCAAGCATCAAAACACCAGAAGAGAACAGAGGCAACCAACAATGCATGTCACAACTTGTCAGAGTTATCAGATCTTTTCTACTCCAGAGGACTACCACAACCCTGGGTTGTTCAGATGGACTGAACTGGTGACCATGGAAGGCGTCAAATGTATCTCCTGACTAAAAAGAGTAAGGGGGCGATCATACAGAGACGCATTGCTACAGGTGTGGCAGCTTCAAAAACACCTTGGTTTATCCCCACTACATCCTTGCTCTGTAGCTCTCTCACAGTCAGCTAACTAGCTTGCTAGCTAACCTATTCATCAGCATAGTAAACAGCATCAAAATAGAAAGGAAGTGGTAAAGTAGTAAAGCTCTTGCTTGATTTGATTGGCTGCCTAGGTCAAGTGTGACATTGATGAGAAGTACGACGTTTTAACTTTTATTTGTGTCTAAAAACTGCTAGAAAACCACAGCCTGGGGCACAAGAGAGGAGCACATGCCAGGCTTGCCGTACCACAGGTAACCAATGGTGTGTCTCTGTGTGATCAGCCCTTTAGGCCAGATATGAAGGAGAAAAACTCAATTTGGACTGTTAGTTTTCTTATTGGGTCACACATGCTTTTACAAAGATGGATAACTGGTTTGTCTTTCAGGCTAAAGAGGCTTGGGGTTGGTTTAAAACTAAATAAGTGTACCATAAAGCACCTGTCCTACTGAAGCACTGTCCATGTTAGGAGTGGTTCACAGTTGGTTCAGGTACACAAGAAGTGTATGGGTAAGGCAGTCCAGTTTGGCACTTGAGTCACACGGTGGTCATGAGTTTGAGAGAACCTGACCTGAACCGAAGGATCTTCTTCTTCAGGTTGTGAGAAGCCTTGATCTTCACGAAGGCCTTCGCCTGAGCTGGACTCATTTCCTGCTCTGCTGCCTGGGACCCCGCTGCCCGGGAGTGGCTCCACCCTCTGCCCATTCCACCTGCCCCAGCCCCGCCTCCTCCGCTCTCCTCAGTGTCACTTGTTGTGGTGCTCTCCTCCACATACTCCTCCTCACTGGACTCGCTGTCCCCGAAGCAGTTTGTGGTGTAGTTGGACCTCTCATCCTCACTGGTGTCCACGATGGTGGAGTGAAAGAGTGACGCGCACTCGGCTGAATACTCTGAGTCACTTCCTGTCACGTAGGCGTATGGGCTGTTCAATGGCCCTTCGGAGGGGAGGAAGACATTGGCTGCAGAATGGCTCAACAGCTCCTTTCTCTGCCGCCGCTGAGCACGCCTGAACGCCTCATCGTACGGCACCTCCATGATCGCACGTAACCGCCGGTAATCATTTCGTTTATACTTTGGTTTAGCGACCACAACAACCTGGTCGCGGCCGTGGTGATAATGCCCATGTTGGTGGTGGTTACCACTGTTGTGGTGGTGTCTTCCATGGTGATGGTGCCTGGATCCTACAGACCGCACGCTGCTTAGTGTTGACGGGGTGTGTTTGTCCAGAACTCTGCCTTCAGGGATGGACGCAGGGAGACGTTTGATTTTAGAGGAGGCACCACAAGCTACTCTCTTGGAGACTTTAATGTGAATTGAGCCTCCATCTTCCAAAAGCCGGGACTTCTTAGAGCTGGACCTATGGTGGGATTTCTCTGACACATTGTGTTCATAGCCCCGACTCGTCTTCATCGTCGTGATAGTCTTGACAGTCTTGCTGCCACTCTTGCGGAGTTTGACGTTCTGTCGCTGGGTGGGGTTGTACTTGGCATTTACCATCCCTCCTTCTTCACCTCCAGCTTCATCCTGACTATGGGAGGAAGAACCGAGGCTGGCTATCTCTAGCACTGACCCCTCAAGCTTCTCTGTCGGGCCAGTTTGGAGAGGCTTTGGGCCGTTCTTGTGAGTAGCTGTTTTGATGACTGGTGACGATTTAAGGAGCAGTTCCTGGGTTTCTTTCAGGGAGGAGTTAGCTTTGGGAGTGTCCGGCTCCCTGAAGTCTTTCGGCAGCGTAGTGGTGGACGCTGCTGAGAGAGAAAGAAGCCTTTTGCTTTTCTTTTTCAGCAGACTGTTAGTGCTTGTATTAGTGAGAGAGGAGCCATTTTGAATGCCATTACTAAGAGGAGAGCTGTCAGGGAAAACACTGTGGGTCTCCAGTTCCTCAGATTTACTTTCCACAGACCACTGCCTCTGAGGAGACGAGGTGGCGGCACCATCGGCTGAAGCTCCTCCAGCCAGCCAGGAGGGTTTGATTTCAGACCCTCTCAGAGTCCCTAAACCAGATCCAGAGACCTGCCTCACACAGAGACTGGCCTGCCTCAGTATGCTCTTAGATGGGTCAGTACTGATGCTGGTCCTGGGTCTGCTGGTCCTGATGGGCAGGGCCCTCCGTTGCAGCAGACTGTAGATGTAGCTGTCCAGTCGCTTATGGGAAGGAGTCTGGGAGGAGGAAGAAGAGGCGGCCGGCCAAGAGGAGCTCTGAGGTACAAGATGAGCTGAAACAGAAGGTTCACCAGCCTGAGTGCTCTTCAGAAGCCCTTCGTCTCTGCTGTGACCCAACATCTGCAGGAAGACGGGGCTCTGGACTGCCACGGCATGCAGCGGGCTCGGATAGCGGTACACGTCGCTGCCGTTTCGGGCCACCAGGTCGCAGTGGTACTTGGATTGGGAGTCACAGGAGAAGGGGTCCAGCGTGGGCGGGTGAGGGGCTGAGAGCGAGCGGCGGACTGTACCAGAGGAAGACGAGTCATCACAAAGGCCTCCAACCAAACCGTCACACTCCAAACAGCCAGCCAGCTCATCTGCAGAGAGAGGGGGAGAGAAATCAGTGGAGGGCTGCTGTAAACCACACTGCTAAACATTTCACAGTTTCAAACATAAACAGTATAAATGGATTGGAGTTTATTTCATGTTGCAGTCTTTCTTAAATGTCAACAGCTGACAGGAAGCAGTTTCCTGGCAGTGCAGCTCTGATGAAATGGTCTGTTGAATGTGGTAATGACCCTGTTTGTGGACAGAGCGTACGAGCATTACTAAGTGGAAAATTCTTTCCTGTGGAGACAATGTGCTGTGAATGTTAACTCTTCATGTTCCTGGAGATGAAATATAGATCAATATGTCAGAGACTGAACCCTCATTGAGAGAGAAACAGCATTAAACTGTGGGCACAATTTATTCTTAATTCAGTAGCATTTATTCTGTGCTCACAAGTTTGCAAATGTCAGATAAAACAGTAAAGACTCACACTACACAACTTCCTGTCTTTAATCTGGAGTCTTAAAGTCATCAATGACACCGATCAGCAATAGGAGTATTAATAACATCTTTTAAAGTAATTTAAAAACAGGCACACAACCATTTACAGCACACTGCTGTTAGAAACAATCAGCTGATAAAGATCCTGATCAGTAATCAATGCTCCCATCATTAAAGCATTAATCAAACTAATACCATCAGACAACCTTATCAGACTTTAGCAGTTAGCTAGTGTTTCTGTAGTGGA